AGGGGTCCTATTCCACCCTGGGCCTTCCTTTTACTCCCTATATATCTAAAAAACAATTTTTTGTTATCCTTTACTTGGGATGCCATCCTCAGCTCCATGGTAGCTTTGGTCCGTCTAACTGCCTCCCTACAAGTGCGAGCAGAGGAGGTATACTTCTCTTTGGTAATCTCTCCCCTTTTAGTCCGCAGGCTGCCCTGGATTTCTCTGGTCAGCCAAGGAAGCCTCCTGGCCCCTTTCCCTCTTTTTCCTCGCTGACTAATCTTTTAAAGTTCAAAGTTATTCACTAAAACTACAGGGTAAGCATTTGTTGAATAAAATAAACATGTAAATCTGGAGAGCACCACGTAGTCTGAGCCTCCTAATTACTCTGCTGACTTTCTTACAAATATATTTTGCTGTATGGTTTAGTTAGTTCTTATAGCCATATTTCCTCTTTATATAAGTAAGTTTCAGGCCACAGGCAAGGGGGATGGTTTTGGGTGTTAACTAAAGCACCCTCTCTTCCCCAACTACATTCAAGGATATCTGTCATCTTCCAGTGCCATCCCCCCCCAGCTTGTGCTAGCCTGGATAATGGGTCTAAGTCTTCTACCAGCAGAGAGAGAGAGAGAGAGAGGTTGTAATGTAGGAGGTGGTTGGATGACTGATGCTTTGTAGTTATTTTCCGGAAACTGGCAATAATTTTCCAGATGGCTGAGGTAGACTTTGCATGTCATTTTGTAGTAAGTATCCTTCTCTGGTTTGTTTTACTGATGATAATTGAGTGCCTAGCAGTCCGTTTTGTTCCTCCTCTCTACTCTAGAACCCTCCTTGAAAGTCTAACCTTTTGCCTGCCATTTCTGTTAGCAAGAGCTGCTCTGCAAAGAAGCACTTACGGTACCATGGTCATGGATTACCTTCATAAAAACCTAGATAGAAAGCAGCAATTTAGTTGCAATCTGCTTCACTATCTCTTATATCCCTGGAGGCCAGAATGTTCATTTGATGGGTACAGACATCTCTGGAACTCTGAAGTAAGACTGACTATGCAGTTCCTTGGTTTTTAACAAATGTGCATTGCTCTTGTTTCTACAAGGATGCTTATGTGGAGAGAGTATAGCTTGCCAACCCGAGCTATCTTCAAGGCAAGATTGCCTAGGTTAACCCTGTCAGCTCCTCAACACAAACAGTCTGTTTTCTTCTCCCATAAGGAGACTCCAGCACTTTTGCTTTCTCATGAACTATTTCAGTGTGGCTTAAGAATAACTAAAGGAATTTATAGACTTGCACCAAAATAATAAAGGTTTGAATTCCCAAGTGTTTGGCTATTTCAAGGTCAGTGTGTAAGTGGACCAGTTGTTTAGTGTAGGCAACACTAAAATGAAAAAGAAAACTGGTGGTGAGCGAGGCGAGGAACATTGTTGTTAGACTTGTAGGTAGATAATAAATCCAGCCACAAACTCCCTTTTGTTTTGCAGAAAATGGTTTGGTTTGATACCAGTATCTTAGTCATCAAGACATTCCTTTTGGAATGCTGGTCCAGATCAGATCACTTCCTTGATAGAAGTGAATTGGGCATTATCCTGTGTATAGCGTTAAGCCTAAGACTGCCTGTCTATGGTGTTTTGAAAACATGGGGTATTTTTGGTGTCCTTCAGTTTCTCACTCTCTTTGGACTCCTCTGCCTGAGCTTTCCCCTTTTATTGTTATCACTAGTACAATAGTAGCACCTGGAGGCTATTAACTGAGGTCAAGCTTCACTGTGCTAAATTCTGTGTATTCAACAAGAAACAGTCTCTGGTTTGAAAAGTTGAGTCTCTAAATAGACAAGAATTACAACATTTGGAAGAAAGGGAATATCATTG